ATGGGACAAGACAATCCCCTTCTTGGGGAGGGGTGATGTTGCTCAAGTGACAGAATGGGAACCTGCTGAGTCACAAGAGGACAATGAGCCTTTCCCAAGCCTCTCAGATGTGCTCAGAGGTGACCGCCTTTCATTTAATCCTCCAGCGCCTTTAGAGGTCATAGGTTATTGGCCCATATTTAAACTGAGTTATAAAGAGACTGGTAACTTACCCACAGTAAGTCACACAGCTAAGAAGTGGCAGAGTTAGGAGTTGAACTCAGGCCTAGCTGACCCCAAGTCAAGTGCTCTATCCACCAACCCACGAAGATCCCTCCCACACCTCTTTGCTGCCCTTCTGGCCTGGAACCCTCTTCCCAGCTCACCTCTTACGCCCACAACTGGATTGTAGCATTCAGGTCTTAGCTTAGCACCCCGCCCCCGCGGCCCCAGGGACCTCTCTAAGCACCAAAATCTAAAGGAGTCCCCCTTTTACCCTTGCTGAACAACTCAGTTGGTCAGAGCATCCTCCCTGTAGGCCAAGGTTGTGAATTCGATCCTTGGTCAGGGCACATACAAGAATCAACCAATGAATGCATAAGTAAGTGGAGCGACAAATAGACGTTTCTCTCTCCCTTTCTAAAATCAATTTTTTTAAAAAAATAAAGGCGCCCCCCTTTTTATTATCCGCCTTCATAACCCGCATCCTTACCTTCTTTCCTGTCTTATGTATAGCACCCCCCTGCCCCACTGTCAGCTACCAGAAGAGTAGGAACCCTGTGTTGCACCCAAGTATCCCTGGTGCCTGGAGAGAGTCAGTAAATATTTGATGAATGAATGGATGAGTGAATGAACGGACCTGATGCCCAGCTGGAGAAGCCACAGTCAAGAAGAGGGCGGTGGTTTCACGGTATTTTCCTTAGCAGAGCAGTTTTCGTTCACTGCGGTGCTAGCCACGCGCGTGCCCTTTGTTCTCGGGAAGAGAGGGGAGCCGAGGGCCGTGTGGCCCCAGAGGATGTTCTCCTGCAGGCCTGCCCCGCGGAGCCCGGGAAAGCCCCCGGGGGGGGCAGCCCTCCCGCCTGCTCCCCAGAAGGCGACCTGCAGGGAAGCAGAGCGCGGGCCGCCCCGCAGGTGTGGGAACGGGGTGGGGG